GTATTCATATACCAATATCTCATATAAGAAACTACAGTCACCTGTGCAGTCACCAGTAGAACTGGTGTCGTGATGATGGGCCATGTCAGAGGAGCAGCAGTAACGGCCCAGATATTTATATATTTTCCTTGCATAGAAGGAGCAAAAGTTAGGGCTTGGCGAGTAAAAATTAGTCAGTGTTACTTTAGGAAGGAAAGCCAAAACATGCAAGAACTTTGCAGGCAATATAAACCGGTGAGAAAAAGCTGGGGTGAACGGTGGGAGCGAGGACAAGGCTGGCCACGGTGGTGGTTCCCCCTTTGCCTCCAGCCCCGAGAGATGCAGGCTGTGCTGTGCTCCCTGCATCACACTGTGCTCCTCAGAGTGGCTTATTGTGTTCGTTTTTCAACTCTGGAAATTTGCTACAAGCGCATCTCAGATAAAAAGTGAAATGAGTTTTGCAACTACGGCAAAAAAAGCAATTTTACATTTCATAGGCCTTTTAAAACCCTTTTCAATAGAAAATAAAAATAACAGTAAGGGGGAAAAAAAAGGCTACATTTCCATTCCCGTTTTTATAGTTTGACGTTGCAGATGTTTCTGGGTCAGAGGTGAACATGTCTTTAGGTGTCAAAAGATGCAATAACCTGAGTCAAAAATGGCCCAGTCCCCAGAACCGTGACTGTGTGCCAGAATATCCCCACCTCAGAAGCTTGCTGGCAGCAATGTGCTCCAGGTGTCTTACACTACACAGACCTGGTAGTCATTTTAATATTTTCCATGCTCAAGTAAATGGACTTGATGTGTGTTCATCAAATGTGGGAAAATCCCACAGAATTGTGTGCCATCTGTTTATAGGTAAAAGCTCTGCTTCGCTGACAATTTAGTGCAAAATCAGAAAACAGAATGAAAGCAAGCATGCTTTTGTTTTGTTCTGTTTTGGTTTTATAAATCCGAGGCTTAACGTCATATCAAAAAAACTACCAAAGTTCAAAGGTTCATTCTGTTTGGATAACGTTGTCGTCTTCAGATGTATGAATATTACCTGAGCCCCACGGAGCTCTTAAAGCTGCACCACGTGGCTACAACCTGCACCCCAGTGAAACCCTGAGCACACACAGGATTCAGCAGGACATGGTGAGGGTGCAAGGACCACACCTTGGGCAGATGGACGTCTGCACTGGTGCTCTGGACCTCTGGTTGGCCTCAAGGGAGAAACTCAAGCTCAAGCAAAAACTGAAAGCTCAAAAAAAAGCTCATTTAGAAAAAGCATCACCTTATTTTACTTAACACCCAATACTGCATTTGCTTTTCTGTTAGAATTAAAGCCCAGTTTAATTCAATTGATATGGTAAATGCCAATCAAAGTGTCCATCTTTATTGTTTTGGTCTGTTTTAAACAAGACTGTCAGAAAAAAGGCAGTTATGTCTGAGGTCCTGGAAGCAGCTATGATATTAAAAGAAGGGCTGTGGTCACAATAGTCTTCAGCACCAGTTGATAGACATCAGAAGAGGAATTTGAGACCTTTCTTGTCCTTACATTCCACATGGAACATGCGCTTATACTTTTCTATAGACAACTGATAACCAGACTTGAGAAATTTATACCTGAATATGAGTCAGACGTTGTCAGAAGATGATGTCAAAAACTGTTTCAAAAGCATTTTTTCATTATATCCCATCGGGGAGTGAGATCTTCTCTTGGGTGAAAGACGAGTGAACGCAGCTGGCAGAGGAGAAAGACATCAGAAGGAAACGAATTGACAAAGCTAATAAAATCCAGACATATGCAATCTAAAATCTCAAAGGGGGTTCAAGGTAAGCGAAAAGGACACTATAGCATCAAATGCTGTTAAACCATCCAATACGACCTGAAGAGAAGACAGAACAAAATCTCTGTAGAGACACGCGCCAGATGCTCAGCAAGGTAGGTCAGTGAATCTTCACCGAGACAGGCTCTAGGGCTTTACATGGGCTTAACCCTGCCCCTAATGGCCTAAATAGATATTTTAACCTTGCCACCAGCATTGTACTAGGGTACCAAAGTTGAGAAAAAGAGTTTGAAAGTGCCTACGGTCAGTTAATTGGGAAAACAACCAGTTCCCCACAGCACAATCTACCCCATTTGCCAAAAGAGACAAGTTTTATACGTTTCAATCAGAAAAGCACAACTCCTCCAGTAATGTGGCCGAGACATTTACTTTGAAAATGAGGAATCTTATTTCCAAGGTCAATCTGAGGTTTCCTGGGTTCAGACTAAAATACTTTGCGGGGCCAAAGAAATATTTACTGGGTTCTAGGGAGCAGGGAGTGGATGTGTAGTTTGAATATATTTCAAGTCAGCCTGGGAGGTCTTTTTGTTTTTATATATTTGTGTCTCCTCAAACAACCTTTTTTTTTTTTTCCCCCCTGAGAAATTGGAAGTGAAGAAAATGATGGCATTTTTTTGCCAGTACATTTTAGTTTGGTCATTTCCTGCATTGAGCCAGAGAACCTGTGTTATTGGCACCTTTTCCAGAATGTATTTTCTTTCCAGTGCATCATAAGAAACTATATAGTCAAATTTTGCCCAAGGGTTGCCATTCCTTTTGTGTTAAACTAGAAGGAGTTTCTGTATAAAGCAATGGTTTGCTTTATGTGACCTTTGACAGTGGGAGTGTTAGGAGAATGACATTATGTGTTGTAGGGCTAGTGCTAGGCGGAGCTTTGTAGGCAGTCGTAAATTAAACAGCAGCATTTTACAAATGAGCTCTGTAATGAGTAGGTGATTGGAGGATGTGCTACTGCATGCTGGAGATTAACATCCGAATAGAGAAACTATCACGTAGCCCAGGAATTGCAGTAAAAGGTGAAAAGAAATATTCAATATTATCAATCATATTAAAAAAAAAAAAAAAGAGAACTTCTTACAGCTGCCAAAGGAGCCTGGGAAAATTAATGTGTTTGTGTCAGAAAGACTGAGAACACGTGAAATAGGACTACAGTGATTGCCAGAATCTTACTTGCCTGGAGAGATAACATTGGACATCCAGTATAACTAGGCAGGTGCCAAGAATCCTCTTGTGGATGCTGTGGAGCAGGTTTCAGATGTAAGAATGTACAACTCTCATCCCCTGGCCCTCTCTGCCGTTTCTGAGTTGCTCATTAAACCAGGGAAACCTCCAGTGAGGTGTGATGACCTGAAAACAGAGAGGAGCTAAAGAATCAATGTTTTAAGTAAAACAGCAATTATAAAAAGATCTACAGCTCCTTCCATGTAATCAGGTAAATTACCAGGAGTAGCATAAAGCACCTAAATCGGAGAAAGAGTGGAGGAAGGGGGAGCGGAGGGGAAAGAAGGTCCCTTGGGAGATATCCGATAGGATGCTTAGTCTGTGTAGAGGGCACAAGGTTAAGTGAAAATGAGATGAAGGAATGATCAGATATAGTCAGATCAGAGACAGTTAAATAAAGGAATGTGCTAACCTAAGACGAATGTGAAGACGCGTGCCCGCGCTGAGTGGGCTGGTGGAGCCAGTCTTCAGCAGCTCAGAACCAGAGAGGGGGAATCCCCAGTTCCCAGTCCATGCCAGTCCCAGCTGAAGCACTTCCCTGCAAAGATTCTTCTCTGCTACTCCAGTAGTGTAAAAGGATATTAAAATATTTCTAATTACATCTCCACTTTTTGCAGGACCTTTTTGACTACCGGTGTGATATAAATCATCCTTAGTGATGAGAAACAAAGTCATGTCTGTGCCATCTGCGGTTTTGGACAACGCAAAAGATGCCATTTAAACCATATGAGAAGTACTGAGAATTTCTTGAAAGCTGCAAAATTTGTTGGTTAGCTAATGTTTTCATGGGTCAGACAGCCCTCTCGTTAGAATGGGTTTCCATAACTGCAAACAACATTTGGTTAAAAGAGGTGCATAATACAAATAAATTCTTGGGACACAGTCTAGATAAAACTTTGTCAAATATTTTGGTAAATCTCCATTCTTAGCCTACCCAAAAAAATGGCTTGGCATAACAGACAGCACCAGAAAGCTCAAGGAGCATCTGTACTCACCAGGTCTGGAAGTAACTACAAAGAGTTCTGTTCAGAAGCCTTTGGTGGCTTACAGGCTTTACATTTTCTAAGAACAGCCTTAAATTTCTCACCCACAAGACGAAAGTTCAAATTCTTAGAAACATAATATAGAGGTCACTAGTTTTTGTGGTTTTTTGGGAGCTTAATTAACATACACGATCAGATCTGGGAGTTAGGAAATTAAAGCTTTAACTCGTCTGCTAGATGCTAATACTCAGGGAATATGCAAACAAGATTTCTGAAAATAAGTCTGGGTGCTCTCAACAATTTTGGCGTTACAGGTTTTTGAGGGGAGAAATTGTTGTGTGCTCTTCACAAGGAGTTTGATCAGTCATGGAATTCACTGAATCTAGCTGAACTTCTTATCTTTAAGACTAACACAGATCCCACATATATTTATGTCGACCCCAAGCTACAATGAAAGAAGTGTGAGTCTGTAAACGAGGAGTTTCAAATGAAAGAGGTGGCTGAAGCATTTTGACCCTATTCAATCAAGGTCAGTTTTCCTCTGAATTATACCTGTTTCTTTGTCTAGCGTTTTAGATACCTTCCAAGTGTCTATCGACAGAATTTCTAAGTGGTATTCAACAAGGTAGAAGAAAGCAAGCTGCTCACAAAACACCCCCATTCCCCATGTGATAAAAAGCAGCGTTCCAGAGGAAGAGACAAAAGAGTGTTTGGGTCCCAGTCCTATGTGCCTATGGGAAAGGAGCGGTGAAAAGAGGCCAACAGGGAAACAGGGACGGGAGGGAAGAGCACAAATCAGCTTTATGAGCTAGCAAATGATGGATGGCTAAATGCCAATTTGAGAGCAATCCATACAATTGAGTTTGCATTGTTGGGATTATTAAAGGTTATTTTACTTTTAATTTTTTGTGGTAGGTGTTCTTTCTCCTTCCTTACAGAAACCCTTGATTTTCACTCGCTAGATACTCAGATGCGCTTGTCATATCCAAAAGGTGATTTCAGTTCTTGGGTGCCAGGAAACCTTTCCACTGATCAAAACACAGCTGCCTGGGCTTGCTTGAGCTATTAATGGGTGCCACAACTCTGGGGTATGTCTGTCTATACCTGTGAAAATAGATATAATTAATATAACAGATATCATATGCATATGCAAATCCAGATGGTAAAAATGACTTATGGTAAGACAAGGTTTTCATTTGCCAAACCAGATCAAGATATCTGAATCACTTAATTAAGCATATACAATCTGCACTTGGACTACTGCTGCCACCAGTGACATCAGCATGCTCTTAATTTATTTTATTTTACATTGAGCTTGTTTGTTAATGAAAGATCTTAAGACGCACAATTTTTTAAACATATTTTAATTAGCTTTTTCCAGGCTGTCACCTCTCTGCAGCCTTTAAAAAGCTCTTTCCATTATTTCCCACAAGTTGCTTGGACATAAGATGGCAGACCATAGGACTACATGAATTGCCATTCAGTGGACACTGATTCTAGATATTAAAACAATGAGCAACTTTCTATCTGTTTTATATAAAATGCTTTCAGTGTAAGACAGGGAACAGAATATTTTCTTATAAATAACCTTTTTATCCATTACAGAAATGGATACCATCTCCTTTATCAACAAATAACAGAGAGAGGCAATATCTTCAGTGCACTTTATTATATTAATACATTTTGCATTACAATTTTATCTTCTTCACTTTGACATTTATTTCCCCTTTAATGAGTCAAAACGCCTAGCCAAGAGCTCTTGACTTTAAGCACATTCTTAACATCAGCATATTAACTGTCACATTCAGGCTAATAGGCTTAACTTATCCGTTTGAGATCTTTGTCAAACAAGACCTAAACCCCCTGATTTTAAAAAATTGATGTAAATGGAAACTTTCACTTTAGCAGCACTGGAAAGACAATAATGCTGCTTCATCTTCATCATAATATGAACATAGAGTATTATGGTTTTGCTCCCAGATACCTTTATCTGTGATAAGCACCTCTTCTGGTAATTAAAGATATTGAACACAAGGTAGTTTAACAGAGATTTTGAGGTCTTGATTTCAAGCAGTTAGTCCATTATGAACCCTTCATTTCATTTTCTTTTGTATTGTGAGGGCAAACAATTGTTGCAGCTTTCACCATGAGCTCAAGCATTACATTTTAGCAGACCAAGCTTAAGTGCATGCAGATGGGCACAACATCAACTTTTTTGAGGGATATTACAAACACAACTGTAAGCAAATTAATGTAAAACCAAGAGGGCCTTTTTTCATAATCCTGGGTAACTCTTAGCAAAGTTTCTAAGGACCTCAGGTTCCTCCCAGGAATCTACACGAAACAATTGCAGGTTTTGAATGTTTTGGAATTCTGACTCTTAAGACACATTAACATGAATCACATTATCAATGCAAGGGAAATCATAAATGGAAATATACTGCAGATATGATTTATTAAGAGCAATTTTAGAATCAGATTTTGCATTAATTATCACTATCTTAATGGAAGGAGATAAAACAATCTACCTGGCATTTAGACAAAAGTCCCATCCTTTTCCTGTCTCTTAATCCAACTCTGCAGGATTTGGGGTATCTGAAAAAAAAAAAATAAGGGTGATGGATTTTCTGTATCTACACTGATATATACACTGATATATACACTGGGTGAGAGCTCACTGCTGACGGGAGCATGTCTTGGTAGGTCAGAAGTACCTCTCGATATCAGGGGAAATGGATGCACTCTTGAAGACTGGGTCCACCAAAGGGTTTCTACAATCAAGCTGTCTTTCAGTGGTTATGGTATTTCTGACTTCTTACTCTCTTCTTGTGAAACTGGGAGATAGTGTGTGCTTGCTTCCTTGTTTGCATGTATGAGGAAGTGAGAGAAAAAGATATAAATTCTTTTAAGAATGAATGCCACATGAGGTAATTTCATCTGCCTGCCTGATTTGGCATTTTCAACTCAATTTCTCAGTTTCTTCCCACAAATAATCCAGCTTTTCCCAGTAATATGCACTGTTTAAGTGCTGGACATATGCTGCAATAATAACGCTTACAAATAATTACTCTAATGGGTAGAACAAATAACGCCAATTAGTTGGTGTGATGATGTTTCCATGACAAACTCCAGCTTTACGGAGTTGTTCATTTTTAAGCTTAAAAGCTTTCTGATATCCTTTGTCAGGCAACAATGTGACTTGGCCACCTCAATTCATCAATCTCTCTTGCCAGATGCACATAGCCATGGACCTGCTCTTACTTAAGTCAAGATTTCTATCAACACCCAGTGCAGAACTAAGTTTAGGCTTAACTGTAAACAGATATAATAAAGCTGATTTCCTCATGAATACTTATGAAATAATTTCATTGCCTATTTCCTGAGGAAACTTTAAAAAAATGGAAGTGTTGGTGTGCACATGTACTTTGTTACACATTGTCAAATCAAACCCCGGTTCACAATAACACCTCAGCCTGCTGCTGTTAACTCCAGGCCAATTAACCTCAGTCATCAAATACGATGGACTTACAGACATGCCTAAACTTAAGCTTAAGTTACATTCAGAATAGAAATGCTTTACTGAACTGAGAGTTAAACTGAGGCACGCTCTTGTTCAACCACAGAACACAGAGCTTCTTGATGGAATATGTAGGTGAAAACAAGTCCATGCAAGAAACTAAAATATTTGGTGTCTTAACAGTACTTCTGGGATGGAACATCCATGAACCTAATTCTTAATGCTTTTGCATTAAACTATTCCTCCCCGCACTGCATCAGGTATTACAGTAATACTGAACAATAGAAATTAATTAGGATGATTTTTAAAAGCTTTACATGTGTTTAAAATCTAAACCATATCACACCAGTGATTCTAGTAATTTTGAAGGCCCTTTGTTCTTCTCACCCTTCCTCTGCTAAGACCGACAGTTCAATCAAACAATCTTTTTTTTTGCATTTTGCATGTGATCTTGTTCCTCTCTGCACCACATCTTGACTAGAGAGAGAAAGAAATTCAAGAATCATGCACCACATCACCAATAAACTTTTTGGGTCTGCTGAAACAAACCCCACAGGTCCACTGAAATAAACAACAGGTATCAATGAGTTCATGACGATTCATGTATATCTGCACCATGTTCTGTCAGAAGGGATGGATGCTCTTTATCCAGCCTGGTATAAAACTCAGACACATCCCCATGAAATGCAGGCTTACCTCCCAATGTACTGCCACACCTTCCATTCTTCGGCTGACCCCTGATAACCTCTTGCTTGCAGACAGGGAGAGGAAGCTGGCAGCAGGAATGAACAAGTCTTCCACTTCTGTTGAGCAATGCTTCCACGGTCAAAGGATTTCAGAGATAGACAAGTGCTTTGCTAAATTAGGGATTTAAAACAGGAAAATGACTTGGGAAGACACAAGTCAAAAAGAGGGTGACTGGTTTTACCTGCTTCACCCAAACACAACCACCAAGTAACCAGAGTTGTTTGCTGGATATTAACCCACTGAGATGTTTCTCCATGCACATTTAATGCTTCTTGTAACCCATGAATTGTTTTCTCAAAGAGCACCCTTACCAGCCATCCTTGGTCGGAGTTGGAGACTGCAAAAAAGTGCTTTCACAATGTTGTACAGTTGTTCCTCCTGCCCGATGTCTCTGGAACAGGCACTTCAGTGCAGCTGCTTGAGCTTACAAGTTTCTCATTCGCTTGGACAGCTTCTTCACTGATGTTTAAGCTCTAGTGATATCACTGCTGGAGTATGTCAGTCACTAACATCTTGGAAACAGAGAAGGAAAAGAGACAGATTTAAAATGGCCAGATGAAATAATAACAATATGAATATTCTTATCGCCTTTTGACAAGAGGCTATAATAGTTCAGAAATGAACGCCATCGATTCGGTGCCTCAATGGAGTTACACGAGCACATATGGTGTCCTGGAGTATTGAAAAAAAGGGAATCAGACTGGTAACTTCTGGTTAAGTAGTGATAATCAGGTCAGAGAATAGAATCCTCTATGTACTTCAGCAAGTAACAATTTTACCCAGTTGATACACGCTGTTTAAAATATCATTTTTTACAGATTTTCTTGTTTTGTTTTCAGACTCAAATTTCAAAATATTTGACAAGTTCCCACACTTGCTGGTAAAAATCCCCAAGTCACGAGCCAGTCAGATAAAAATCTGTTCTTTCTAAAAAGGGAAGGGTGTAGGGTGGGGAAGGAAAGGTTTGTTGATAACTTTGCTACACTCTTAAAACGTTTAACCACAGCCTGGAGCTCAAATAGGCATTCATGTGAAGTTCCTATTTATTAGAGTATATTAAAAGTATTCAGCAAAAGTGTATCTACCATTCTGTGATCTGGTTTTTGAAGGAGACACAACCCAGTAATTAAGGTGTAAGACTAGATCCATTTTTTTAGGAATACAGAAGTGTGAGTGATAAAAACAGTCCAAAACTATACTTTGCCCCAGTTTCTTGAGAACACACTCTTATTCAAAATAATCAATAAAATAACACAGGAGAAAATGGACAAGGGAGAAATCACAAAGGCCTTTATCAAGATGAATCTAGGATCACACTGACTTGTCTAAATCTATATAAAGAAAATGGCCTGCAAGTCACTCTGAAAGTGATGGGAACCCATGCTTCAAACACATGTCTTGAAAGAATGTCGGAAATCTCGTTCCTCTTTTGGCTGCGGTTACAGATGCTTTCTCCAGACAGTGCTCACTAGTTTCAATTGTCTGGGGGACTCAAAAATACATTTTCCCCTGGAAGATAGTCTGCATATGCTTACAATAAACATTAACGAAATCAAATGACTTTCACTTCAGGATAAATACTTTCAAGTTAAGTCTGTTAGAGACACTTATAGTAAATTGCTATTAATTAGTTTTCCCAATCTACTTAGGTTGTACTAATGAACACAATCACTTCTAACATATTTATTCGCAGGATAAATCCTGCCTCTCTCCATGTGCCTGTGAAGGGCCCAAGGTGAAACGGAGATGTTCTGCTGCAGGAACATGAGAGCCAGTTTGGGGCAGGTGAAGGATCCTGCTGGGTTTCTGTGTCTCTGAACTCTGGTGGTGGAGGAACAGCCAGGAGAAGCCGTCTGCGCTCCCTGCCAGACAGCCGCCGGGGCCTGGCCTCGGGAGGGGCAAATTCGGGAGCTTTTTGGCCACAAAATATATAGGTTACATAACATGGAAACTCTCAGCTCTGCAAAGCCAATGAAACCACATTTTCCTATAACCATTACTTCCCCTTTTTCACATGTTCCCTACTTGTAAGGGCTGGTTGTAAATTATATGATAGTATCTCTAGAGATGGGAACTTCTCCTCTAAGGCTTGTGAACACAACCCAGCACCACGAGGTCCCCAGCCCTGATGGGACATTTCAGGGCATTACTGGAAGGGCAGCAGTCACACTAATACCTCTCAGCTCCCTTCTGCTAAGCCAAAATATGGAACAGAAGTAAAAATCTGAATTACATCTATGCCAATATTTAAAAACCAATAATGTTACCTTCAGCAATTTGAAGTTGGTCACTGGAAAATCCCTAGATATAGCAGAGCAAAGCTCCTGGTAATTTGCTTCACCGAGTCCTAAATAGTACTGAAATGCAATCCCATTATTTTTAGAAATTATCTGCTCTATTTTTGTGGAATTTTTCCTAACAGCTCTGAATTCCTAAAGCAGCACTGCAGCAGGCCATAGGGCCTAGATCTAGCTGAGAAACCTGCACGCATCACATAAAGCGTACGATTCCACAACTCATTAAGTCTAATTTATGGCATATGTAATTAAGCACCTTTGAATTGAACCCAGGTCTCTAGAGATAATAACACTTAGAACTTATATAGGGCTTTTCATCTTCAAAGTGCTTTACAAACATTAACTAATTAACAACATAATAAGACATGAAAGGCCAATGTACTTACCCATAGTGCTGCGTAGCCTCTGTATAATTCAGATTTTGATGTTTTTCAATGCGAGATCCAATCTGGATGCACAAGGAGGATTTACTTCTGGTCTCCTTCTCAGTCAGAAAGCATGACTTTGTACGTATCGTGGATCTGAATTCCCAGAGCACTTCCCTTCTCTTTATTGCCGAGTCAGAAGAAACAGCTCCCAAAAGTGAAGGAAGGTATGGAAAAGAGCAGCTCGCACAGTCTGTGAGGGTCTTTGAGTTTCCTGGGCCAGAGAACCAGGGCCTATCACAAGGAGTTCCTGGAGAATTCAGTGCACAGGATTTCTGGTACCACCTAAGTCCAAATCCTTCCCAAGGTAAATCTATTAACAATTACACAAAGTCTCTATGAACTGGATAAACTACCAGAGAGAAGACCTTTTTCCAGGTAAAAGTGGTAAAACCTGCAGTGATTTCTTGTTCCCCTCTGCTCTTCTGGAAAGTCTGAAGTATCTAGCCAGTTTGTTTGCTAGTTTTTGGGGTTTTTTTTAACTGCTTGGTCTAATTTACACGCAAGCCTCTTCAGCCAGTGCACATTTCCTTTATTATCTCAACGAATGTTTTGGTGGTGATAGCAATGCTGTAGGTGTTAGATCAAGTTACTCGCATCCCTCCTGGATGTTACTAATCCAGAAAGACGATGGATAAAATAAAAGGGGGGCAAACGATACGGACAGTTTTAGTGACCAGTCCTTCAGACATCAGCCTGTGTCAGTGATTGTTTTCAGGAGCTCCGAATGTTGACCATGGTCTGTGCACATGCTGTGCTTCAGCATCACCTGTCCACCAGCTAAAAAGACAGTGGATATCATGGAAGTATCTCAGAATCACAGAATCTTCTAGGTTGGAAGGGACCTTCAAGATCATCTTGTCCAACCGTCAACCTAATTTTGACAAAAATAGACACCCACACAACAAACAAAAAGCAACACCATCACTAAACCATATCTCCACTCTCTTTCATATCTCAACTCTCTCCAGATGTGTCTGCCTCTATCCCCTCGGGGATTCTACTGTGCACCAAAAATTGAGAATTTGGAGACCAGTGGAAAAATAAAGCAAGCATATTAAGATGCACATCTCCCTTATTATCTCAATGAATGTTTTGGTGGTGATAGCAATGCTGTAGGTGTTAGATCAAGTTACTCGCATCCCTCCTGGATGTTACTAATCCAGAAAGACGATGGATAAAATAAAAGGGGGGCAAACGATACGGACAGTTTTAGTGACCAGTCCTTCAGACATCAGCCTGTGTCAGTGATTGTTTTCAGGAGCTCCGAATGTTGACCATTGTCTGTGCATATCCTGTGCTTCAGAATCACAGAATCTTCTAGGTTGTGTTTTCAGGAGCTCCGAATGTTGACCATGGTCTGTGCACATGCTGTGCTTCAGCATCACCTGTCCACCAGCTAAAAAGACAGTGGATATCATGGAAGTATCTCAGAATCACAGAATCTTCTAGGTTGGAAGGGACCTTCAAGATCATCTTGTCCAACCGTCAACCTAATTTTGACAAAAATAAACACCCACACAACAAACAAAAAGCAACACCATCACTAAACCATATCTCCACTCTCTTTCATATCTCAACTCTCTCCAGACAGTGTCTGCCTCTATCCCCTCGGGGATTCTACTGTGGACCAAAAATTGAGAATTTGGAGACCAGTGGAAAAATAAAGCAAGCATATTAAGAGAGAGCTATGCATATGTATCTCCCTTACTCTGCACATTAAAAAGATCTCAAACACAAACACTAATGACTCAGCAGCAGTGGTTCAGGTGGAGCCCCATGAGAAATTAAAGAAAATGAGACATACCATGGACCAGAAAACAAAACGTATGTGGAACCAGCAGGCTTTTGTGCTTCCCCGCAGACAAGCAGTCCAGAACAAATCCTGAAAGGTAACAATCTCACAGTAGTAATGCCTACAAGGGATCCTCTGATAAACATAGGGTCTAATTAAAAGCGTTACAATTTTTAAATGCAAATGTAGAATAGAACTGTCAAAATGTTTTATCCCTAAAGTGTGAATGCTAACCTTCCCATACTTATTATATGGCAGTACATTTTAATTTGCCTGGAGCAGTCTCGAATAAAGCAAGCTTCACAAACACAATCAAATGGATATTTGAAAGTACTGCTCTTCACAATAACTGTGTGTCTGAGCAAAGCTTCAAATGTTGATCAATTGATTACCAAAATCAAAGAATACATTTCCCAAATGAGCTTCTAGAAAGCACTCAATAGCAGCAGAGAAAACAATAAAGCTCCACAGAACAGCAGACTTTCTCTAAAATATTTACAAATGCAACTTTTTACTGCTTTCCTGGTTTATAGCTTAGATCTGCCCAGATCTAGAGTGAAGAATAAAGCACTTCTGA